ATTAATATCCCCAACTTTCACTAGACTGTTTTCTATGAAAGGGGTGGGGGTCAAAAACAGGAGAGTAATTATCAAGTGAGATAGTCTAAAAAAGCATGCAGTACGTCCATACACTAATTTGAAAACATGCCTGATTGCAAAATAATTTAAAAGTTTGTCGACGAACGTTCCTAAAAATGATTTAATTTTAATGCCCTACCCCATTAACTAAACATAAATTTTATTTTCGCTATATTTTCATCAAAGTATGAACTTTTTATTCCTTTTTTCCTGTAACAACCAAAATTAAATTTTAAAAGAATGCACAGTATGATATTTTGTATAGGTAGGACATGATCTACTGGGAATTTCCTATATACTCTCTTTAGAACCATATCTTTTCGACATAGCTGGATCTGCGCCTCTAAGACAGCAAAATGTTAGAAGACGTCAGGAAGTGAAAATTCATCAAATTATGGTACCCATTAGATAAAAATATGCAAATCTAAGCCACTGAAATTTTTATATTTATATCCATCCAAAATTAAAAGAAAGAAAAGCAAAATGGTTTAAGAAAATTAAAGTCAGGAATTTTGATAAACATTTCTATCATTCGGGAACATTCCGTCGGTGTATTAACTATTGGTAAATAGAAATACAAACCTTGAACAGAAAACTTTTTTTTTTTCTATTATTTATTCAATAACATACAATATAACAGTGAGGTAAAACTTCCGCAGAAGCCCTCTGATAATACCTCACCAGGGGTGCCAGGGGCTCCCTGGATCGATATAGTATTATGTAATATATCTCCAAAATTTGAACAGAATTTTTTTCACATTATGCTAATATATCATTATTGACGCTTCATTTTCATACATATCTCAAAGCAAATTAGCACCATTTTTATATATGATAACAAAGTATACGTTTAGCACCATTATACTAATATATGATTATTGACGCTTCATTTTCATACATATACATGAATATCTCAAAGCAAATTAGACCATTTTTATATATAATAACAAAGTATGCATTTAACAGCAATAGAAATATGACCCTTGTTGCAGTGGAGATTGTGTGGAAAAAAAAGAAAGAAGTCTATATCAATCTCACTGTAACTAGTATTTAGGGCCAGGTCACCCTCAAATACGGGTCTTTTTGTGTTTTACAGCCTATAAACAAAATCAATATGCAGAGTTTTGTGATGATAAAATTAGATTATAATAATACATCAAAATGAATGAATTTTAGAAAGACATGAATATTTTTTCCTCACACACATACATGTAGTTTGAATCTGGCATTACACTTTCATTTGATGATCTATTAATTTATTCACTTTGAACATATTTTAAACATAATGTTTCCAGTTACATGAAAAATAACATAGCAAAAAAAAACAAAAATAGTGTATAGTGGACTTAAAAGTGTGAATACATGTATATATAGTTTATCACGGCAGCAGATAATACCGAAAAATAACAAAGCAAAAAAAAAAAAAAAAAAAAAAAAAAAAAAAAAAAAATCCCAGTGTGCCTTATAGTGAATTAATAAATGTGAATACATGTATGTATAGTTTATCACGGCAGCAGATAATGCCAATAACGCTATAACTGCATGGTATTAGAATCCCATAGAATTTTGAAACATATGATTTATTTTCTCTTTGAATTTTGTCAAATCATGTGATTGTAATAGTAAAAAATTCGATTTCATTTCATTTTTGAATGCATTTTTAATACTGTAGTCAGTTATTTTTAAATTATCATATTTAATTTTATTTCTTGTTTTCCATATAACCCATTTATAAATACATATTAAAATGTTAACAACGGTTCTTTGGGTTTGCGGTTCCTTCAAATATCCTAATATTATTGTTTGTTGGTCAATTTGTAAAGTTCCATTTAGTTGTAGTACATTTTCAATTATATTTTCTAGTAACTTGAGTGTTGTTTTCACTTTTGCGCAATGGAAAAAGAGGTGTTGTTGATTTTCTTTATGATTTTTACACAAGTTGCATAAACCATTGGATAGTCCGATTTTACATAATTTATCTTCAGTATACAATATGTTATGCACGCATTTCCATTGGAATTCTTGAATTTTATTTTTAACTTTCAGTTTTGAAATGCTGTCCCAAACTAGGCCCCACTGTATGTTACTTTGATATATATTTTCCCATTTTTCTTGACATTTTGGAATTATTGTCTTGTTTAATATTTTTTCTATGTTCTTTAACTTGATATCTTCAAAGGTTACCACTTTATTACTATCTCTTTTTATGAGTAAATTATTATTCAATTTATAAGAGAGTTTTATTTCGCTATTAAATACTGAGTTGTTATTTTTCAATATTGGATAAAACTGTTTAGGAATTGCTGATTTTATTTTACTATATTCAAATATCCAACATCTTTTGTCTAATAATTCATTAAAAATGGTGTCATTATATTTAAAACAATTTTCCGCATCATTCCAAATGTCTTTAATTTTTAATAAACCACTTTTAATAAATGATTCCACATATAGGCTTTTCCATTGGAATTGTATAAGTTTATTACCAAAGAGTGATAGGTTAAGTATTTCCTCTCGATTCTCTGAACTTCACTTTTGTAATGCTGCCTAAAAGTCCACTGGTATGCTATTCAATTGCACAATGAAATCTTTTCACCTTGCAACATAAGACAATTTTGATGATATTTAAAAGTATCTTTGCTAATGTCATAATTGTCCTTTCATGCATCTCCTTTATTGTCCCAGGATTAACTAATAATACAAAAGAATCCACAAATTGTAAAATCTATTATAAAATTTTCTAAAGGAAACTGACTGAATTATTTTCTTATAAACTATGTCATAGTAACAGAGTGATTGAAAACAGGTTATCCGAAAAAAAAACACCAAAATACATACATGTTCATGACCAAACAGTTTGAAAGCTCTCACGCCATTTCTCTTATCTTCCATTGTCAAAAATATTTCTGTTTTATTGATCGCAGAGTACAAAAGATAAAACATTATCTTTTTTTTTTTAGTAAATCAAAATCAAACAAGTTTTATACTTTACCTATAATCACCTATGAAGAAGGTAATACAGTCTAAAATCCAGATGAACAGTAGAAAGCAAATAAAATATCAACAATTAAACAGTTATAACAACAACGTAAGGACTGTCCCATTGAGACCATGCTTCTTCCAAATTCATTACTGATCCTGATAATATGCACGTGTAATGTAATGTGGGAGGGAAGTTTTTTAAGATGTTCGACAGAAAAAAAACCCGGATTCAATATTAACTTGAATTCCTAACATTTTTGTCAATCAGTTCCTGAACACTTGGAATATTAACTGTTCTTACACTGAGATTTTCTTAATTTTTAGTATCTTTACTCTACAGCAATATGAGCTTCAACTTTCAAGTCAGAATATCTGTTGTAAAATTGTGATTGACTAAAGGAAAAAAAAACATTTATAAACTTCCGTTGTTTATATATTTGCAGTGGAAGAACTATTCATAAGCTTTGCAATTGATTCAAACAAAACTACACTATTGTCATCCTGATTTCTTATAAACTACTTTATTACATTTTCATCAATGAAATACTGTGAATCATTTATTTAATCAAAGTGATATTCTGTCATAGTGTCAAGGATATCAAAATGAGATCCTTTCACAGTGTTATAAAAGAATTTAAAGTATGCTGATTACTTTCTCCTTTACACTGATTTTCTTTTTCTTTTAGAAAAGAATTCAACAAGATATTTTATGGTACGAAATTCTTACGGCATCATTATTTTTGCAAAATTTTAAAAGCAACATAAGTATTATATATATCGAGTCAAATACTGACGGACTTTTTCATATTGATCTACACATTGAATTGTCTACGAACTTCCTTTTTTATTATGTCAAGGAGCACACGGCGGATATGTCCGGTCAGCAGGGGATGCTTACTCCTCTATGGCAGTGATATCACCTCTGAAGTTTAAGAGGCCAGCATTTCTTCTGCTCCCAATTTGTTTTTTTAATAAACTTAGGTTAAATACTATACAATTATTGCCGTTTTTTTTATGTCAATACAATGATTTAGCCATCTGAGGAGTACAATATTGTACTTCGAAGAAGGCTAAATCATTGTATTGATCGTAGAAAAAAACAGCAATTATTATTTTATTATATGATTCATTGATAAAATTATATAGCTCTCATAGTGTGGGGATCCGATCATATTATTCAGACCAATAAGAGCGTCCAAAACATCCTTGTCTGTAATGTATGAAAAAGGTGTATATAACGCGCAGTGATCAATCTAAAACAAAACTAGACACAATGCAATTCTGTGAACAGAGCATAACAGGGACCCATATAAATTACAGGGGTGGGATCAGGTGCCTGGGAGGATAAAGCATCCCTTGTTGACCGGTCATACTTTGCCTTGAACCTTATTTATTGACCAAGTATACGAAACATTCCGTAGTATAATTCAGTAGAAAACAAAGTTATATCAATTGGTTTGAAACAAGTCTGCCAAACCACTAGCAAATTAAAGTTTATGCGAGATAATCTTGTCGTTCTATGAATCTGTATACACTCAGTGTGTTGTTTTGGCCTTATCCCATCAAAACAAGATGATTTTTTTCGTCATATGCCAGACCCAATGGTTCAATTATCCCATCTTGTTTTGTTGATAGAATTGACAGGAGGAGACCATCCTTGTCAATCATCTATATTGTTTGGTCTAATCGACCAGATATCAGGATATTTAAGAATGCATCTACACAAATTCCACAAGGCATAAATATTCCAAACGACAGTCCTTCTGGTGGTCCTGTGTAAGTGAAACGATATTTCCCTTCAGGGTCTGTGACCACCACACCATTTCATACATCATATACAACAATATCCCCTTTCCCGTTTTCCGTGATGTAGACAGGATCATGATATAATGGTTTGCCTGTCCTATGGTATTGGATGGTTTGAATTGGTTGTACAGTTCTATTATACGGAATGACTTTCACATCTGATAATGGTATGACGGGTTTTTTGTATCATATCTCATCATGACCAGCAAATCTCCAGTAGAAGCAGAATGACAGATACACCATGGTTCCCATAGTTCTGTTCTCTTTATAAGTGTCGACTTTGTAGTATTGTCTGCACTTAGTTTGTTAATGTTCAAGTCTTTGTCTGCATAAATCAGCTCTCCTGCGCTGTTTACTGTATGTGCACCACAGTATTCACTTACATCAAATAAACGATGTAGTTTGTTACCTTTAGAATTTGTTAAAATAAGACTGCGTCCATCACTGACCCAAATTTTATCTGGTTTTACAAGAAATATGTGAAGACCTTGAAGTAGGTGCGATACAGCAACATACTTCTTTAAGGTACCTTTCTGCATCAGCTTTAACATTTTTTCCTTTCTTACTTGTCTTTTTTCAGCCTTTATGATTTTGATTTCAACTAATGAATCTAGAACATCCTCTGTTTCTATTACTCCATTTAAGTTATACACTATGGTATCAGGAAGGTTTGTTGTTTTGGGGACAGGGGTTTTCTTTATGAACAATATAAACTTTACAGGCTTGTTTGCTAGTTGCTCGTATCTATGCACACATTCCTTCGTTTTTCTATGCTTCAATACAAAATTCACATAAATATTTATTTCATGTAAATCATTCTGTGCTTTGCCATGTATTTCGATAAGTTTTTTCAAGTTTGCAGCATTCATTGCGAGCTCTTGTTGTATGCTGAAGAGTTTTGCTTTCAATGTTTTTACGTCTCTTTTGACGTCAGATTTGAGACCTGCTAGGATCGCACGATTGTATGGGAGACTCTCACCTCTTATCTGAATAATTCTTTCCCTAAGTTCTTGTCTTCAAATCATGCAGGATAATTTGATATCCAGAATTTCATGTCCTTGATGTTCATCAATTTGATCACAGATGGGACATTCACAAGATTTGCACCAGTTTTTAAATTTGCAGTCTGGATGTTTATAACATAACTCTGGTGTTACATGTATAAAGTCACTATGTTTTAAACGGTAAATAACGACATCATGGTCTTTGGTATCGAGATACACAACGTGCTTCTGCTGACAATACATAGTTACACAGGTTTTCTTTGCATGGCCTGCAGTAGAATTCTACGTCATTCTGACACTGACAGCATTCGAGCACTTTAATTTGTGTTGTGATATCCTTATCCATTGTGTTACTTAAATATGTTTTTTTTTCTTTTAGGTTCAAAATGTCACTTCAGGGGACACACTACAATAAAAAATACAATTTTTTCAGACATTATATTTCATGATTTTTAATCCCCCCCCCCCCCAGTGGAATAAAAAGTTATCCGGGAAAAAGTCAGAATGCAAGTATGTTATAATCAAATAATTTACAAATATTTATGGCATTCAATGTCAAATAAATATTTCTGTTTTTTTTAATTGACCAAATAGGTTTATTATAAACTATTTCATAATAGAACGAGTGTTTGAAAAACAAATTATCCGGAAAAAAATAAGTGAGTACAATAATGCAAGTATGTTCATGATCACATAATTTGAAAACATTTGCGCCATTTTACCTTATATTTCTATATCAGTTAATGTCTCTGTTTTTATTGATTGTAGAGTACCACTGGTAAAGCTTATCTCTTATTTTCACTGGTAAACCAATTACACACAAGTTGCATACTTTACCTATAATCAGCCATGCTAAAGAAAACTGACTAAAATCCAGAAAAACAGTAGAAACCAAATAAAATATTCACAATTAAACATTATACAACAACGTAACGACTGTCCCATTGAATTAACACTTATTCAGAATTATTTACTGATCCTGATAATATACATGTGTAATGTAATGTGGGAAGACAGTTACTCAAGAAAATTCGACAGAAGAAAAAAATCCGGATTTAATATTCGCTTCTACTTTCCCCACATTTTTGTCCAAATGATCCTGACCAATTTTTTGTGGTTGACAAATTAAGTGTCCTAAGACTAAATACTTTCTTTATTTTATAGTTTTGGTATCTTCATAGTAATAACAACTGCAACTTTCAAGTCAATTAACTAAATGTCAGAAAAAAAGGTTAATTAACTTCAATTGTTCATATTTGAAATGAAAGAACTATCTATAAGTTTTGATTGAAGCAAAATTACATTATTCTCATCCTAATTTTATAATACACTATCATATTTTCAACAGTGAAATATTGGCATTCCCTCATTGAATAAAAATGATATTTTGTTACATTGTGAAAGGATATCAAACAAGAGGCCCATGGACCACATCGCTCACCTGAGCACTGTAGCTTGGAAAAAAGCAGAAATCAGTTTATTATTGAAAATTTTAAACCCAAAAGTGGTCCCAACCAATCCTTAAAGGGGAGAGGGTATGATTTGAACAAACTTGAATCTACACTAACTAAGGATGTTTACATATTTCTTTGACTACCTGTGGCTTTATTGCCCTTTACATTTGAACTTACATTATGGCCCCGCCCAACACCGAAGGGGTCATGACTTGGTCAAAATTGAATATGCACTACCTGACAATGCTTCCATATGAATATGATTAATCAATGCTTTGGCATTCTTGAAAAGAAGATTTTTATAATTTTCTACATATTTCTATGTAAAACTTGGATTCCATGTTGTGGCCCCGTCCTACCCACAGGTGTCATGATTTGAACAAACTTGAATCTACACTACCTAAGGATGTTTCCATATAAATATGATAATTCATTCCTTTGCTATTCTTGAGAAGAAGATTTTTAAAGAATTTCCCTATAAATTTCTATGTAAAACTTTGATCGACCCTACCCCCCAGGGGTCATGATTTGAACAAACCTGATTCTTCGCTACCTGAGGATACTTCCATATACATTTCATCTTTCCTGGTACAGTGGTTCTTGAGAAGAAGATTTTTTAAAGAATTTTCCTAAAATTTCTATGTAAAATTTAGATCGGCCATTATGGCCCCGCCCTGCCCCCGGGGGTCATGACTTGAACAAACTTGAATCTACTCTACCTAACAATGCTTCCATATAAGTTTCATCTATCCTAGCACAGTGGTTCTTGAAAAGAAGATTTCTAAAGAATTCTACTATACATTTCTTTGTAAAACTTTGATCGGCCATTGTGGCCCCGCTCTACCCCCGGGGGTCATGATTTGAACAAATTTGAATCTACACTACCTGAGGATGCTTCCATATAAATATGATCATTCATGCCTTTGCTGTTCTTGAGAAGAAGATTTTTAAAGAATTTCCCTATATATTTCTATGTAAAACTTTGATCGGCCATTGTGGCCCCGTCCTTTTCCCAGGGGACATGATTTGAACAAATTTAAATCTACACTACTTGAGGATGCTTCCCTATAAGTTTCAAGTTTTCTGGCACAGTGGTTCTTGAGAAGAAGATTTTCAAAATATACCAGCAAATTTTCACTATTTCTGAATTATCTCCCCTTGAATAAGGGCGTGGCCCTTCATTTGAACAAACTTGAATTCCCTTTACCTAAGGATACTTTGTGGCAAGTTTGGTTGAAATTGGCCCAGTGGTTCTTGAGAAGATGAAAATGTAAAAAGTTTACAACGACGACGACAACGACGAGGACAACGACGACAGACAAATTTTGATCAGAAAAGCTCACTTGAGCCTTCGGCTCAGGTGAGCTGAAAATGAGATCCATTCACAGTGTGACCTGGGACACATTTAAAAAAAAAAGAACAAAATTATAGGATACTGATTACTTTCTTTACTTTGATTTAAAAAGGATTTTTATCTTTTTAAGATGATTCAACAAGATGTTTTGTGTAGGAATTTCTAACAACATAATTAATTTTGCAAAATTTTACAAACAACATAAGTATCATATACTTCGAGTCAAATGCTGATGGAGGTTTTTCATACTAATTTAAAAGCTGAATTGTCTACGAATTTCATCCCCCTTTTTTGCCGATGATGACAATGGGCACACGCAGGTATTACTGGGTGGTAAGAGATGCTCACACCTCCATGGAATTGATCTCACCTCTGAACTTTTAAATGGCAGCGTTTGCTCTGCTCCTGGTTTGTATTCGTTAAATAAAACGATCTTGAAAACTGGTCGTTATTTCTATATCTCATGAATAAAAAGAAATTTTAACGCTCATTGTGTGTAGATTGGTTCATTATTATTCATATTGATAAGCTTGTCCGAAATCACCCTGTCTGTTTGTCTGTGTGTGTGTAAAAGGTTAAGATAACGAACAGTGATCGATGACGCTAAAACTACTCACAATACAATTCTGTGAACAACGCATAAAAGGGATCCCATATGAATTACTGAGGTGGGATCAGGTGCTCTGGAGGTGTAAGTATCCCCTGTTGACAGATTTGTGAACAGCGTATACCGGAAATTACAGTGGAGGGATCAGGTGCCTGGGATATGTAAGCATTCCCTGTTGACCGGTTATAACCTGTCTTGAGCCTTATTTATTGATCAAGTGTACGTATCATTCTGTAGTCAAATTCAGCACAAAAAAGTTCTACCAATTGATTTGAAACAAGTCAGACGAACCACCAGCAAATTAAAGTTTATGCAAGATAATCTTGTCGTTCTATATGTCTGTACACACACAGTCTATTGGTCTTTCCTGATCCCAACCAAACAAGATGATTTTCTTCGTCATATCCCAAACCCAATGGCTCAACCATCCCGTCTTGTTTTGTTGATAGAATTGACAGAAGGAGACCGTCCTTGTTAATCATTTGTATTGTTTGGTCTAATCGACCAGATAATAGGATATTTAACAATGCATCTACACAAATTCCACAAGGCATAAACATTCCAAATGACAATCCTTCTGGTGGTCCTGTGTAAGTGAAACGATATTTTCCTTCACGGTCTGTGACCACCACACCATTCCATATATCAGATACAACAATATCTCCATTCCTGTTCTCCGTGATGTAGACAGGGTCATGATATAATGGTTTGCCTGTCCTATGGTATTGGACGGTTTGGATAGGTTGTAGTGTACTATTATACCGAATGACTTTCACATCTGATAATGTTATGGCAGGGTTTCTTGTATCATATCTCATCATGACCAGCAAATACCTAGAAGATGCTGAGTGACAGATACACCATGGTTCCCACAGATCCGTTCTCTTTATCATTGTCGATTTTGTAGTATTGTCTACACTAAGTTTGTTAATGTTCCAGTCTTTGTCTACGTAAACCAACTCTCCTGCACTGTTTACTGTATGTACACCATAGTATTCACTTGCATCAGATAAATGATGTAGATTGTTACCTTTAGAATTCGTCAAAATAAGACTGCGTCCATCACTGACCCAAAGTCTATCTGACGTCACAAAGGAAATGTGTCCACCGTGATATAAGTTAGTCACATAAACATGCTTAATATTTAGGATAGCCTCTTTTAACAGCCTGAACAAATGCTCATTTCTAACTTGTCTTTTTCCTGCTTCTGTGATTTTGATTTCGACTAATAGATTTAAAATGTCCCTTATACTTATTTCTTTATTAAAGTTACACTTTATGTTATCAGGAAGTTCTATTGTCTTTGGGACAGGGGATTTCTTTATGAACAATAGAAACTTCACAGGCTTGTTTGCCAGTTGTTCGTACCTATGCACATATTCCTTCATTTTTTGATGTTTCAGTATAAAACGTGTATAAATATTTGTTTTATGTAAATCATTTAGTGCTTTTCTATGTATTTCAATAAGTTTTTTCAAGTTTTTAGCTTTAACTGTACGCTCTTGTTCGATGCTGTAGAGTTTTGTTTTGAAGAATTTTACGTCAGATTTGAGACCTGCTAGCATCGCACGATTGTATGGGAGACCCTCGCCTCTAATCTGAATAATTCTTTCCCTGTGTTCCTCTCTTTGAACCGTGTAGGCTAATTTGATATCCAGATTTTCATGTTCTTGATGCTTATTATTTTTATCACAGATGGGACAATCACAGTATTTGCACCAGCTTTTATATTTGCAGTCTAGGTGTATATCACATAACTCGGGTGTTTTGAAGTATCCATGCCTTAAACGGTAAATAACAACATCATGGTCTTTTGTATCGAGATACACAACGTGTTTCTGCTTACATGGCATACAGAAACTTTGTTCACATTGTCTGCAGTAGAATTCTACGTCATTCTGACAATGACAGCATTGAAGCACTTTAATTTGTGTTGTGGTATCCTTATTCATGGTGTTACTTTTATTTGTTTTCTTTTTTAGGTTCAAATTGTTATTTCAGGGGACAGACTACAATAAAAAATATTTTAATACAGTTAATGTTTTACAGTTAAATGTTTCTAAGGAAATATGCACTTAGATCATATTGGATTTCCCGGAAGAAATACTTTTTAAAAGGGCATGAACACAGTTTCAGCTTTTTTTATATTAACAAACACTCATCTAAGGTATTTTTATGATTATGAAAAATCTGAATTTCAGTTGACGAGATACAAGACAGATTTAGCCCCCCAAACCCTTGTTATGAAAACAAAACCCGTGTCATGTTCTTGTTTACATAGGTTAAATATACTAATTATATGTTCGTTCAAAGCAGTTTTGTCAATAAAGAAGTTAATTCTAAATACATTTAAACACTTTATATTGATTTGCTGAATCTCATTTTGTCATAAATATGATATTTTCTTTATGTAAACAAAACTGAGGCAAGAAGCCTTGTTTAAATTATTAAGAGTTTATTAAGTCCCGTTTCCCTTTTGTAAATCAAAAAATTATGTTCAGCTAGGAATTGTAAATATTAAAAGTGGTTTTAAAAACAAAATCGGTTAAAACTGTGTCCATATCTCATTAACTAATAGCTGCAGAACTGTAGCTCTCCAAAAATATATTTTGACAGACCGGAGAGCTACACTGCCACCCATTGGAAAAACTCTACATTTATTGCGCAAAAAAATTTGCACTTGATTCTGGATTATTTCTTTCAAATTCTTACCTCAATTGCAAAAAAAAAAAAAAAAAAAAAAAAGATGCTCTATCAAGTACTTTCGTAGTTGACCTATACACAAAGCGCATAAGGCTGAATTATCTTGCAAACCAAAATGGCGGTATAAATAGACGAAATTTTCGATGATTCCGATTTCAGAGCCAGGAAGGCTATTAACAGCAATTATATGGAATGTTTTGTTGTGGAAACTGAAAACATGTTTTAGGAACACACGGTTAGTAATATTTTGAGATGATAGTTTTAAAGACAAATCGATTAGCAGCGCACTTTTTTGTGCGCAATAAATATACAGTTTTTTTCAATGGGTGGCACTGTTGCTCTCTGGTCAGTCAAAATATGTTTTTCGGAGAGCTACAGTTCTGCAGTTAATTAACGAACTAAAAACTAACAATTCACCAAAGTATACATTTTGTATATTAAATGACATAAAAAGAACAAGGTTTAACATTAATTATATAGTATATTTTAAAAAAAATCATGGAAATAAATTTTGTATATCTGTTCTTTAATAAGTAAAATATAGCTTAGTTTAGCCCAGCTTGAATCAATAATTCACAGTCGTGTTTTATATTTTAATTGCAAAATTGTAAACATCTTCGCTAGCCAAGGGTTTCTCATACGCTACTCTCCTCATAACCCCCTTGATTTCACTTGGAGAGCGGAACGTCTCCATGCGAATTATCTTGGGTGCGAATCAGTGTTCGTCTTACACTTATCAACCCACATTTCCTCAACCTAAAAAAAGATGTTACGGCTAATAATGCAATTTTAAATAATATTTTTCTCTACTTACAATGAAATTCGCTACAGAGCTTCATCTTATCTGTCAGTAAAGGACAAATGTATCCTTCCTAGTCAACAGCGACCAAAAATCACAGCATTTCAGCTGGTGCAGAAAGGTCATCAGCGTAAAGGAATTGTAAAGGAAGTATGGGTCAAATTGACACCCAAGGTCATTAGGCACATTTCTCTGGGTTTTTTAAAATAATTTTTATCCGCCAAAGAAAATCTTTTAAAAAATGGCTAAGTAAAGTTTTTATGTAAAATTGATATGTTTAAGGACTTCAGGGCAATAATGGCATGTGTTTCAGGATACACCAAAGGTTTTTTTTTTTCAAGATTTTTGTCAATTTTGAGATTTTTGGCTACGAAATCAATGCTTAATACTGCTTTATAATGCATGAAAAATTCTTGCTGATTATTAAATGGTTTTCTAATTATCTAACAATAATCAAACATAAACACTAACACATGTGAATGTACAGTTATTGAAGCTTCTGATTTGGTTTGTAACTGCCTGCTTCTGAAAGGAGCAATAAATCACTGTGACCACTTGGGGAATTCTTCACTAGCCACACAGAGGCTATCAGTAATTAAACTACAGGGGCCCAAGATTTAGGGAAGGAGATCTTACAGGTCACTAATGACCATGAAATAGGAGGTGGAGCTTAGCTCTTGCCATTTTGCCGGGAAATCTTTCTGATTCAGAATTGGAACTATTCTACTTCATTAAAAGCACCTAAATAAAGAACAGAACCTCCATTTCTTGTGAATATGCATAGGAAATATGGATAAGTGACAGGTATCCAAAGCTGAATCTCCAAGGTGTCATATATTTCTAGCTTTGGCAGACTTTGTTGTGTAATGGGTTTTTGCCCTCTACTGTAAAGTAAGATCAGAAAGTTGGTGGTATTATTTCAAACGATTCAGCTCCCTTATTTATGGACTAATTTCTCTGAAAATTGGCCAGAATGTGTCTCATATGTGTGTTCAAAAAAACGTATCTCAGATTTTTGATATCTTGCTCAGTTCTCGAATTATTGGGGGAAATGTAGAATTGGGCTAAAAAAACAAAATACACACACACACACACACAAATAAATAAAAATAACAAAATAAAATTAAAAATTAAAAAAGAAAAAGGAAGAAAAACAATCAAACAAAACCAAAAAACTAGAAGTACTCTGAGCAATGAGCTCACTAAATGATATCTTCCGCCTCCCGTATTAATATAATGGTAATGTCCATGTTTTGCATGGCTTGTAGAATGACTTGTAGGAAACCCAATATATGTGTCGAACCAAAAAGTAAAATAGGAGGTGCACAATGAAAATATGTAATAAAGATTCTATGAAAGTCTCATCAAATTTTATTCGGTGGTTTGAGAGGAGTTGCGGATAAGAGCTGGGTACACCAAAGTGTTCCAGACGGACGGACGTATATAAAGACGGACGGACAGACATATCGATTACTACACTGTATATACCTTACCGCTTTTCAAGCAACAACAAAATTTAAAAAAAACAATAAAATTGTGAACACATCATGACATATATCGACAAACAGGAACCAAAACAGGTCAAATGGGTAACTCGGGAGACCTACATTTATTTTCGAAATGTTGCATTAATATTTTAACATTTCTACATTTGCAAATGTTTTCCTTTATATAACACTACTAAAAGCAATGCGTATCTATAACTGTATAAATACTGGTTCGGGGTCAAGTAGTCATAGATGTGGGTATGGATAAACGTTTGACGTACCTTGTCAGTGACGTCATAAAGGGTCGACGCACGTCAAGTGGATTACATACATGCCGTTGGGTTTGAAAAATAATGCATTTCACACATTAAAATTCACAATCAGGCAAATATTAAGTATGAATAAGTCACGAATGTAAATATAAGTAATAAGGTATCATTTTTAAACATCTATCGGGTTATAAATACTGGTTGGTATGAGATTAAATTCATCATAAAACCCTGTGGGCTTTATGGAATTTAATCTCGTGACCAACCCGTATTTATATCTCGAAAGATGTTTAAAAATGGTACATTAGTTCTTTAATAAAACAAATGCGCGATAATGGCTAATTTCCTTTTAATTTCTTAAGGAAGATCGACTGTATATTAGAGGCAGTTGAGGAGACATCAAAAGTAGAATGATGCCACATTGTTTTTGTGCTTATACAGCTCTAAAGAGGCTCGTAGGAAGCACAACATGTATTCAGTGGGAGGGGGCACAGACAACTCTGAAAAATTCCTTGACAAGCAAAAAAAGTCATCATACGATTTTTTTTACTGAGAGGGCACAAACAATTAGTAGCATTATAATACATGTAGCTATTTTTTCTATAGTATTCTATTTATTGCAAAATTATTGCTGGTACCCCCCTTTTCTGGTTCCTACAGCCATACTAAAAGAACATGACCTTAAAAGGCATAAGCACACCAAGCATGATGTAAAATCACAAACTACTGCTATATGAAGAAGGATATGGAGATAACGAACAGTATTCAATCTCAAAGTCCATAAAACAATACAAAACAAGAGCAGAGCAAACACGGACCTCCGAAACATCAGAGGTGGGATCAAGTGCCATTGAGGAGTTAGTATCCTCTGCTGACCGATCACAACCGCCGTGCGCTCATTGTCATGATCTTGAAATAACGGAAAAATCCGTCTTCAATTCAGTATATAAATAATGGACTAACGATTGGAATTGAAAACTTAAGTCAGCATTTGACTCAATGATAAATTGTATTTGCTGACAAGGTCATTGTATCGACCATAGAACTTACGAAATGATGACTTTAAACGAGACTGCTGTTCTTGTTTCATCTTGTTTTGCTTGTCAATAATTTACCTCGTTTTAGAAATTGATCATACGTAGAGCATGCTCTTGCGTATCGAATCAACTGAGATATATACACTCTGTATGCAGGTGATGAAGGTATATTGCAGCATAAGTAAGGGAAGTTGACGATAGAAAAGTTAAAGTCATCTCGTTTATCATATAGCTTGGTTGTTAGGTTACCATTAACGTCTTTTTCAAGTAAAATATCCATATATATAATATCGATCCCTGAGGATTATCCGAAAGATAACAACGAGGGAAAACAAGTAAAATATCCATATATATATAAATAATATGGTCTTATGCGATAAATATTTGGAAAATGTGCATGCACTCGAATCAAGGTTTAACACTGATTGAACTTGGTCCGTTGATTATATGGAGGTCATGTAGGTCATGAAATTGTAAGCTTTGAATTGAATTTCATAGACATGATTCTGAATAATAAATTTGTGTTGGTGTCTCATTTTATTTTGAATAATTTTGTCTTTTATTTCTTATCTTACTCTTTGTTATGTAGTCATTTTCAGAACTGATACCCCATTCAAATGTTAGAAGAAAAAAATTCCCTCGCTTTCACTGAAAGGG